GGCCGGTATCGCAGTCCGATCGCGTCCGACATTTTGGAGAGACAGTAGGATTCGCATATGGCTCATGCATCGAGCCAGATGAAGATGGCTAAAGACCGATTGTTCAGACATGTTGCCGACCGCACATAGCCCCGGAGGTCATGCATCCCTCCAAAAGTGCACGCAACCTTATGATTGGCAAACGACATCATAAGGAATTACTAAGACGGTGTGGCACTGCAAACCTTTGTATTACCTATTGGATGCCTGGGAATACGAGGTCGGTCGAGCGTTGCGACACTGGGTACGCTTCTTCAGTGTCGAGTTACTCGAGTCCATTGGCTCGCAACAACACCATGCCTAGAGAAGTGACTGTATCAATTCATTCAGTCTCAACAACAGTGCGCTGGGTCACTTCGTCATTCGCGAATTTCTTCCTTCGCCTTCTGTACTACCAGCGGTGATCGCTGCGCTGCAGTGTCATGTTGCTATCCGTCCGTCGTTTACCCTCCCGTGATTCCTTTCTTGGGTTAGACTCAAGATATCAGCGGATCGTTGCACTGGCAATTTAAATGCATACACCAGCTACCTCGTATGCGGGCTGCTATACATCGACCGAAGCCATTATGGCCTATCGAAGCGGTGCATGCCTTTCTCAGAGGCAGCCGCTACTCCAAACTCTCGCAGTCAAGAGACGGAGCCCAACACGTTCAGCATCAAGCGCATAGAAGTCATGATTTTCAAACTAGCCGTCTTCATCGTAGACGTTGTCATCATTCAAAGAATCGGATACCATCGATACAAGCATGATGCCGTGCTGCATGCCCATAGTGGAGCTAACCGAGTATTTCACTGCGGCCGTACGGCTGTAGCAGTATCGTGTCATGATATTGTCACGGTGGAACGTAGATCATCACATATAAGGTCATTGTCTCCAGTCAATCGAGGCTCAAGCCGTCCAGCTGTAGTTGTCAGTTCGACACATCCTCTCGTTATTTCCCCTCAACACTCGTTTCTTCCTTCACCTCTTGGAACAGGTGTGTCTTGCGACTCACATAACAACCATGAAGCTCAGTACCTTCACTCCGTTCGCGGCTTTCCTGACGCTCACTGCAGCTGAGCGGGTGCCCTGTAAGTCTCCCCATAGGATCTGCTGTCGGATCTACACGCTTTTTCCGTCAACGTACCAAGCATCACGCTCTCTGAAATATAGGTACGTGAGTTAATCTTCTGGAATAGTAAACTTCCCACAGCATGTACGGCCTCGGCAGTATGCACCGCCACCGCCATATTCTCCTCCCTACCCAAGTTCAAGCAGCACCGGCGGAAGTGCGTCGTCCACCTTCTCCAGCGGCACCGGCGTCTCGCTGTCTACTTGGACGCCTCCCGTTCCAACGTCTTCGTCGACTGCAAATTCTACAACGCCAGGACCCTCTACAGTCGTCTACACTAGTGTCGTGGTTATCACATCAGTTATTGTCCCCTCGACATCGTGAGTTATGATCGATCCTGGTGACATTTTCTCGTTAATCTAATCCATTGCTCAGTGAGACTGTCTCTGGAGATACGTCGACCGAAGCTACAGCGAGCAGCTGGGGCAGCAGCTCTTCTTCCATAAGCATCCCTCTTTCGACTGGACCTCAGTCTTCCGGAACAGGGTACTACCCAACTTTGCCGCCACATGAGTCTTCCGCACCTTATGGCAACAGTACTAGTACAGCTTCATCTACTTGGGGTACGGGTACCGCGCCAGGATCTTCAATGCCATCTTTGACCTCCACTGCCAGTAGCAACTCCACTGGACCCAGAAGCTCATACATTCCACGCCCATCGACAACTACAGAAAGCCCGAGCACCAATGTAACTGTCATTACGTCCGTCATCACCTCCACCATTGCCATTACCACATCCGTTCCATACCCTTCCAATGGTACTATCACGGAGACGAACACTGGGCCCACGGCAACATCCAGTGGAAACGGAACTATTTCTCAGACTCCGTCGTCGTCGGGCTACTACGGTCCACCTGGTAACGCCACCAGCAGCGGTAGTCCCTCTGAAACCGATACTGTGTCTTCATCGTCGATCGACATCTCCACAATCTCCTGGATCACCTATACTTCCGAAGTTTCTTATAGCCAGTCGGAGACTCCGACGCCAACCACTGATTATTACACGTCATCTTCAACCTCGACTTCAACGGGGTCTAGGAAATCCAGAGTCTCTCGGAGTCGTTCTTCCACACGTACCTGGTCTAGAACACTCACCATGTCCAGATCCTCGACCACGGACGGCTCCTCATATACGCCCACTAGTTCCGAAGAGTCGTCGTCAGCTACTGAAACTGGAACCTCTTCAGATTCTTCTTCGCTGGCCTCATACACACCTTCGTACACGGCATCTTCTACATATGATACCAGCAGTGTGCCTAGTGCTTCAGAGACTGATTCTGCAACATCCTCGTTGCCGTACTCGTTCAGCATCTCTTTCAGCTCGATTGAGACGACTTCAGACTCTTCCACACCCACGTCGTCTGCAGTCATAACTTTGCCTACACCCTCGCCAACCACGGAGAGCTATTCGTACTGGTCCTCCTCATTCAGCGAATCATCTACGGACTCTGAACTTGTTTCGTACACTGAGTCGGTAACTTCAGGCACGAGCAGCTTCGTCTTGCCTTCCGAGACGCCATCGGAGTCGTTGACTAGTGATTCTGGTACTACCGAGACGCCCGTCCCGACAGTAACACCCTCTGACACATCCTCTTCCGACTCTCCTATCACGTCTGTCAGCTCGACCAGCTCTGAGACCCCCGAAGTACCTAGCTCATCCATGTACAGCGAAACGGAGTACACCACCTTCCCCTCTTCCTCCACCGCCTCAGCATCTTCCAGTAGCGAGTCCAGCTCTGAGGTCGAGACTTCCTCTATCCTTACAGCCTCTGAGAGCTCTCTAAGCTCAACCTATACCGACGCCACCGCTACTTCCTTCCCGGTCGAGTCCTCGACCGCTTACCCCAGCAGCTCCACGTCGGGTTATTCCTACTGGACCCCTCCGGTCAGCTCGGTAACCAACACGGATGCTACCGCCTCCTCCTGGCCTGTAGATTCTAGCACCTACCTCACCAGCGCGACGAGCAGCCTCACACTCACGACCTTTGAGACGAGTGCCAGCTCCACCAAGAGTGGGTACGCGATGCCACCTGAGGTGACATACGAGGCGCAGAATGACAAAGTGAAGCGAGGCATGGTGAGTTTTCCATTGCTGCCTGATGTCCAAAAGGATGAGTACTAACTGTCTTGGTAGATGGGCATGTGGTTCATGTAATCTATACTGCACGACACTCACTCGGTTGGGCGATGTAAGCCCGTTGTGAGGCCGACTGGTGAAGCTACGACATGTCATTGCGTCTTTACCAAACAAACCACATTCACATTCTCTACTTTCCTTTACTGGTGTAGACATACCTTTTCCTTGTTGTTAATTCTCTTCACTTCTTTCCCTCACCACCCTCCCGCTGTGTCAATGATGTCTGGGCTGGGTCTTTAATAATCATGGCTGCAAGATCTTGGGTCATAGTTCAATACAACATGTGTTTCTTTAGACGCATCTCGCCGCCAATTGACGTGATGATTATCTGACATCGGCGATCATGATGTATTGTGATACAAATCGAATGAGCCTCCAGAATACTGCGCAATGACTTTGATGTCTCCAGTGCCTCCAAGAGCTCAACGGGCGAGCTTTGCCTCCAACGCACCATATTGCTAACCTCGTACCGAAGATGAGCACCCAGTGTTTTATAACGTCTTGCTAGGAGTTGTATCTTGAATATGCGCTGAGGTCGTCATGGCGGTGGTGCATGGGCCGTGGCATGTTCTGTCTGGACGAGAATCGGTATCGAAAAGCAATCGAGGGAAAGATGAGGAAGGCAGCGGAATAGTGAAGCGCAGTACAGGTATCGAGATCAACGTTGGCGAGGAAAGTCCTTCATCCAGCAGCGTCAGCAACGTAACCTCAACTGAACAAACATATCGTATCACCATCCATGAGAGCCATATTGTCGTCATTGAAACATTATTTCATTCATTCTGCCGTGACGATTAGGCGTCTTCTTACTCGGTGCAGCTATAGCAACGAAGCATGCCTCCTCGATGTCATTATGTGTCGTCCCTGATGTCCGTCGACGTCTTTACATCTTGCTCTTAGCCTCGCCCTTGAGCTCTTGGGTCTTGCCCTTGGCCTCACCCTTAAGCTCTTGAGCCTTGCCCTTAGCCTCGCCGGCCATCTCCTTTGCCTGGCCCTTGGCCTCGCCGGCGGTGTCGGGGGTGGCTTCCTTAACGGCGCCAGCGACTTCCTCTGTTCAAAAGGTGTTAGTGTTTGTTTTCTCATGGTGCTAGCGTAGCTGGCGTGCGCACTGTACGATGTCGTCATATTCTCGGCTGTTGAGAACAGAGAGCATCAGGCAGTGTAACGCAGATTGGATGTGTGAGGGACGGAGTGTGTACGTACCTCCCTTCTCAATGCCCTTTACAGCGGCACCGGAGATTGTCCTGTCGACAGCCTTGGCAGCATCCTTGATAGCTTCTACGGGGCTCTTGCGCGCGACGGGTGTGGTGCTGAAGAGGCGGGCCTGGCGGGCGATTTGTTGGCGGAACATGTTGATGGTGTTGTGTGTGGTGTTGGTGTTTCGAGGTGAAGTTGTTGGTAGAGGTGGGAGCGGTGGCAATTGAGTTGTTCGATGGGTTGTTAGATGAGGTTCCTTTGAGTGTGTGCGGAAGACAGCTTTAAAGGATGTGTGGACGTGGACTGAGCTGCTGTGCTATGACGTAGTTATGATCAGCCAATCGCGGATGTGGGTCCGCGTGTTGCCATGCATGCGCGAGGAACGTCGCGTTTACGGAATTCGCATGCCGGGGCATCACAAATTTTTACATGTGCATTATGTTATTGTGCACGATGTTGATTCATTACGATTACTTTTGCCGTACTAATTGGTATTATACTGCATGAGCTCAGGCTTAGTACAGCGCCTTCTGCCACCATGCACACCTAGCGTTCGCGTTGCTGTCGCGTACATCCTCGATGCCGGTAACGTTAAGCTCCAAGACGGTCGCATCCGGACCGTACATGTTGAACTGCTTCACGCCTGTAGCATCTGGCACACCATTCTCAGCGAAGCTGGTGATGAACTCCTGCAGAGCGATGGCAATGGTGGTGTTGGCAACACCTTGGAGCCCGGTGGAACCTGCACCGCCCTCAAAGTACGTGTACGGGATATCCTGACCATGAATAGCCGGGGGAACTGCGAAGAGATAGGAGTATGTCTTGTTTCCGTAAGCCCTGGAGAGGTAGTTGGTGTTGCACGTGAAGACTCCCTCGCTGACAATGAGGCTACCGCGCTCGAAGTTGTTGGTGTATGGTAGAGACCCGTCGAACACCGGGGGGTAGAGAGTCTTGGTAACATAATCGATGGAAGACTTTGGAGCGTTGGCGAAAGCGGACGAGATTTGATCTTCCAATGCAGCCTCGTTTGGAATGAAGAAGGGCGTGAAGAGGGCTCCTTCATTCGCATTGTGGCCGACCATTACGCGCACGTCCTTGTCAAATCGACCTTGTGCCAAAAGCTGAGCTGGCTGAAGAGGAGCGAAAAGACCATCCACGACCGGCCCGTAAGTGAATGTACCGTATGGGGAATCATAGGTGATCTGCTGAGCATTCGCAAGCATTACCTCTTCAGATGAGAGAGCCCGCAACTCTGCGAGGGAAGTGGTGTTGGTAAGAGTGAGGAACCTCTGGTAGACATCTTCCTGAGTGACAACAGAGGTTGTAGGTTGCCATCCAGGGCTCTGGGGTACGGCTTGCTGGAAAGGAGCAGATCCATTAGCACCACCGTATGCAGTAATCTGATGCATGATCGAGCCGCCTCCAGCGCTCTCACCAAATACAGTAACCTGTAGACATAAATCAGCACAAATCATAGATGCATGGACCAGTTCTGACTTACTCGGTTCTTATCACCTCCAAAGAGATGAATATTCTCCTGGACCCACTCAAGCGCAAATCGCTGATCGTACAAACCTAGGTTGGATACACCTCCTTCTGCTTGGTATGAAGGGCCACCCGTCCAGCCCAAAGCACCAAGGCGATAATTCATCGCAACGTAGATAACATCGCCATTGGACGAGTTGCCGGAGGCCGCGAGCAGACCCGCAGGGTTGTTGTTTTTCTCGCCTCCTGTGTAGCCGCCTCCGTAGATCCATACGAGAACAGGAGCCCCGTAGCCTTGCCCAGCTTTGCTAAGCACATCCTCGGGAACAAAAACATCCAAAAATAAGCAATCTTCAGACTCGCGGGGATCCGGTTGTGGGACCGGACTGGTAGCATTTGCTGGCATCACTGAATAAGTTGTGTTCGAAGCAGGAAGGCCGAGCGCATATCTGGCCAACGACTGTGCTGCGGCTGCAGACCAAGCGGGATTTGCCTGAGGGCATATTCTGTAGATGTTAGTATGATTGTATGGACTTCGGTTTCCTGTGGTGCTTACCTCGATGTCTCGCCAGTGTTGATAGATGACCTGTTTTCTGCTGGAGCCTGAGGTGGTGCAAACCTCAAGTCACCGACAGGTGGTGCAGCATACCGTATGTTGGAAAAGTTGTAGAAGTTGCCGGTGTCCTAATTGGGTCAATTAAAAAGGTGACATCGAGACTTTGATGATGGTATACGAACATTGAAGCCTGAAGCCTGGTAAATCTCGTAGCCCAGGTCGACTGTAGGTAATGAGGAGTTCTGTGCATATGCTGCACCTATTAAGGCTGCTGCTGCTGCTGCAAGTTGCAACATATCGGCGGACGGGATGAAAGTATGAATAGAGAAGTAACGACGAGGGCTACCCAGGTGTATATTCCAATTGCTCGGGACTCACGACGGTAGAGGAGATACAGCCGCGTACAAACGTGCAAGGAAGGCCCATCCATCAGGCACGGGTCGAGCATCCATATATACTCCTGTCATTTGCCCTAGTCCAGCCCGGCCAGCATCTCGTAATGCTGTCGCGATCACGCATAAGCCGCAGACACGTCCCGCCTCAGCCTAACGCAAACGACTCCACGTACACTGCGTAGTAATCGTCAACGGAGTCAAGCTCGCCTGCCGTGCCGGTGGCTTCGCCAGGCAATACACAAGTGCGTCATCGCGGTGGAACATTCGGCGACTAGCGGTGTCACTGATTCGCTCGCTGAGGCCTGGCGCGAGATACGGTCGATACGTGGCTAGCTGTGGCACAGCTGCTAGAACTCATCCACGTGCCTGGGGCTCTGGGAACCTCGCGGATTTTGTATGTACACAGTTGTAGACAATTTTGACTTCTGACAGGTAGAATTAAACTTTTTGAAACGTCGTTCGGTGTCCCGGTGAGATGGGAGCGGGAATGTCATCTCGGCTGTAACTGGCAAGACGGTCCGACGAGGATATTCCCCGCAAAAAGGAAGCAATGCTGGCAGGGTATCTTGCCGAGGCATCTCGACTGGCTATGCGATGCCTTCCGATGGCCTGGTAAGGCTGGTGTGAAAGAATGCGCGCAGTCCGCGGGGTACGTACCAAGATGGCGTACGGACGAAATTCTAGCCGTCGTAGATTCCCTAAACGCAATAGAGGTTCGTCAGGTATCCACCGTATCGCTTCGTCGCTAGGGGTACCATTGTTTTGTTCACGATCCAACGTGATCGCATGCAGAGGTAGTCGCGATTCGTACGTGTACCCTAAATGTAGGGGTTCAGCCTTCCTCGAGTCCACCTAGCGCCACGGGATACCCATGCAGCCATGGGTGCATCAAATAGGTGAGCTGTTGTTCGATATAGTATGCCAATAAGCGTCGCACCGAGACAACAACAATTTTCGTCACGGCCATTCGTAGATACTAGTGCATAAAATTAGGAAGGTGAACTGAGATGACGCCCAGCGCTCGAGAGGTGAGCAGGTGGTGGTCAGTGCACCGGCGGCTCCAGGGCTCTGGTGCTGGCTTGCGCTCAGCTAGCACCCAGGCTATCTTCAGTTCCTTATTACTCACACGACAGCCTACCTAGGTATATAGCCATTGGCCTTGAGCTGCTGATGATGTCTTAAAAGTGGACGGTGTCGGTGATGAGGTCCTGGTCAACTGACGCCCGTTTCATGCAACCACCACTCGGTGGAAGAGCCCAGAATTGTATCTTAGATACTGCTACACTGTCAGATTCTGGGTAGCCAAGCCTTTCGAATGTACCTGAAGATTTAAAATGGAAAAGCTAACTGAATGACTGAGATTATGTTGTCGTTCATGATGTTGCCGTGAAGATGCTTTCCAGTTCCTGCTCAAAGTATGTCACCGATTAGTCGTTCTTTCACTCTCGGACTGCTTTTACGAGCCCATAGAGTGTGTATCGCCATGTTATACATGGCAAATAATGAACCTTATTGCAAGCTCGACACCCAAGAAGGTCTCCGACCCGCATTGGCCGCCTATAAAACATCCGATCCAACCACCACGGCGAGCATTGACGCGACATTTCTAACGTCACCTTCTACCAGCCACCTTCAGTCGCTCCCCGAGCTACTTCACCATCCACCGTGGCTACTCGAACAGATAGTCGGTGACGTAATCGTATGCGGAGAACCACTCACAGGCTGGGGGCGTAATTGGTTCACAGTGCGAGTAAACATCCAAAAGAACTCGATGCAACAACATGGAAGAAGCGTTGTCAACAGAGTGGGAGCGGGATCATGTGTGGGTGGCGTTGTGGTATCCACTCAATCTCGAGACAGTACCATATAAGCCGCGCAAAGGAATGCCACTCCTCTCTTATCCTCACTCTAGTATACAAGTATCTTGGTGAAAGTGAAAGAAAGGTTCTCGCCATATTTGGGTTTTCCACGTAACTCGCGATGCGCGTGATGGATCAAACACCCGGATGCACCTGCCTTTTCCTGAACCTTCCGCGCTCCGACGTACACGCAAACCTCTGCTGCAATTGGCCCTTATCAGCTCTCCCTACTCTGTTGGCTAACGACGTTCTTGATTACTCACAGTCAGCTACACGTTCCAAAAAAATGAGCTCCGAACCTCACCCTCATCAAGACGTGAAGGTGAGTAAGTTTCTACGGCTTCAGGAACCATCAAATAACAGAAACGAGCGTCGTATGAGTAGGCGCGACATCCCTGAAATGCCCAGGGGCTATAATGCCCAATACACCTTCGACTTCAACGATATCAAAAAGCGCATTCTCTCCAACGCACGTGCATATTACGCGCATCGCTTCCCTGAAGCGCAACGCTACGACTTCATCACCTCATCCATCCCGCCGACCGACAGCCGAGATAGCAAAGAATACAGGGGCGGGCTGATTGTATACCCTGATCCGAAGTCAAACGACTGGGTGATGCTGTATAAGAGCCACTCCTGGCCAGCCGTAGAAGATACGGCGTTTGAGATCAAGTCCTGGCTTGAAGAGAAAATGAGGGCTGTGTTTGACAAGACGAACGAAGGCGAGAAGTGGGCCGGAACAAAGAACAAGTCTAAGGACGAACTGTCAGGCAGTGAGAGAAAGTCTACTGCGGGCGAGGACCAGATGGAGGATGTGGAAACTGCGGAGGACAGCTCCAAGTCGACAGATACTACTGCTGGCGATAGAGGTGACGGTACTGGCACCGGCGACAAAGGCGAAGATAAGGAGGTTCCGAAACAACCAGAAGACTCCACTGCTGGCGACCAAGCCGAGGCTGCAAGCGACACCACCATACCAATTCGGAAACGTAAGTCAGCCGCGGATGAAGAGAAGGACCGAAAGAAAAGCATGAAGAATGACGAGGAGCAGCGTGTCTTTGTTGGCGAAAAAGATGACCCGCCTACTAAAGAAGAGAAGAAGGGTCCTGTCGATCCTGTCGTGGTTCCGACCGAGTTGAAGCTTCCGCCGACCACTGAGAAGTAGTCTCAGCTCCTTCGCCACCCTTGGGTGACGTACAGAGTGGATGAATCAGTGGTTGTTTGACGGGCGATATAGCGCTGGCGTATTGGGCAGTGTGCGGAAGTACTTGTGTCTAGATAGAATCATGGCCATCCTCCAGTCTCACATATCCGTCCTGCTTACCCATCTACAACTTCGCCTTCAAGTCCTTACCACCTTTACCACTCCCGCCCTGCTCACTAAATCGATAAACAATATCCTCAAACCCATCCGCGGCGAATACATACAGCCAGACCAAGTTCTCTTTTCCCGCGTTGTAGATACCATGCTCCGCATCCCCCGGTATGAATACCACCGACCCCTTCTCAACCTCATACTCTTGCTCCTCAATACAAACCATCCCAGTACTAGAAACAACGTGGTAAATCTCTGCGTGCGTATGGCGATGCAACTTCAGAAACCCCACATCGCCCAAAGACTCCGGACTCTGCAGAGATGGACTTGGGATCCCAGAATCGCTCGTGGAAGAAGACGCGGGGCAAGCCACAACCCTTCCAGGCGGACATGTCGCAACACCCACCGTGAACGTATCCGTCTCAGTCTTCTCATTCGAAACCAGCGTTTTCCACGTCACATTGCCTCCTGTGCTGGGATCGGGGAAGCCTTCGGGTGCCATTTTGGCTATTTGTGCGGCATGCAGGACTAGAGGTTTGACAGGTCGCTTCGAGGCTGTGGAACGCATGGTGGTGTATGTTGTGTGACTGTTGATGAAGTGCGACTTTTGCTTTGGCAGGGGAGGTGCTATCCGGGGAGAGCGGTAGACTGCACGCGCGGCGCGGATGCATGCAAGGTACGTTTGGACGATGGGAGTCGGAGATGGGCGTACGACATTGCGGATGTGCGGGTTGAAGGGGGTATACATATGCATATGCATGTACTGTCGCTTCGTAACCTCTCGCGACTTGCATCATCAGAGAAAGGCATTTCTTGCTGCTACGTCTTCTTGACATAGGTCATGTGGGGTTAGAGGGGTAGCTTGGGAGCCACACTCGGGATTGAAGTTCTAAGTCTTGCCTAGTTCGCGTCGTCAAGGGCGTATGAGAAGTTCGATCGTTTCGTGCCCGCTTCGGGCTGTCGTGATAGTTTGGCGACGGCCCGGCGGCTGCTGTTGTGCTACCGCATTCTCTGCTGTCAGGCCACATGGCATCTGTCGTAGCGACCGCCGTTGAGCCTGACTCCCCTTAGACGCATGCAGAGCATTTCGGGATATGCTGGGGTTTGATAGACTTTATTGAAAGAACATCGGGTTGCGGTTTGTCGACCTGAATACCTACCTAGAAAAGCATTGATCAACGCAACCAAGGGACGCGGAAAGTCACCGCAGGAGCAGAACTAGAGTCGGGATCCGGTCTCTTGCGTCGGTACTACCCGAGCTGGCATATCTGTATATCGATTGTATACTGCTGTTGAAGGTAGGTCACATCGTTGATGATGTGGTAGGCATGGGAGTGACATCCTAACGTACCCAGGTACTATCGTATTCTGCCTACCACATCTCCAGGTCAGATCGCTGACACCAAGGTATACCCACTGTATAGACTCATAACTTTTATGAGGATGGTCATGGTTATCGTGAGATAAGAGGCCGCCGTGGTCTCGCTGCTTACGGCCGTTATTACGATTTGCCTACATCGGCTGCCATGTAGGGTTCAGGCGGAGACGCAGCTAGTCGTTGATGCCCGAGGCAGCCAAAGTCATCCGACCATGCGACATGGTTCGCATAGCTGTCACTGTGTCAACTCGTCGATGTCGCAGGGTTCGCCTGGCGTTCTGATGGGCGCTGTGCACGGTTGCTGTCCACGTTGATGCGGTCTGTCGCGAATGCACACTGACGGCATGGC